TGACCGAACGCTATGCTGAAATGAATGTGTGAAGCGAATATCTTGGCTAGAACGACTAGATCGAAATGTCGCTCTGGGAAACGCCTAGTTGAAATGTCGGTTGTTGTGAATGCGTGGCTGAATGTCCGTGCTGGGAATTCCACAGCCAAACTCCAAGAAGAGATTGGAGTTGGGGGTGTGGTGGGGCTCAACACTCGGAGTTCGGGTGGCTACCAAACAAACGAATCAGGCCCCTTTCGAGTCCAAGCCGCGCGGTTTCGAACCAAAAAAGATCCGGAATTTCGAGGTTTGGTCTGGAGGGATGGCCGTTGGGAATACACGCAGGGGAATGAGGAAACTAGGACCGACGGATGATTTCTTAACGAGAGTAGCCTACGGCTCAGATTTATTGAGTGGACGTTGTTGCCTGGCGGGAACCGCAATTGCCATTAAAAATCGGAGCAAAGCAACTCATGTGAGATTCTTGTCAGGCGGTTCGCCAATCAAGGACAAGCTACCCCAGCCGTTTGAAGTGAATGGATGGTAGAAGGGATTGGGGTTGGGTGAGCTTCCCTGCTCTCTCAGGCTTTCAGGGAAAACTTATTGGGGTGAGTCAGTGCGAGGCAAGGGAGCCATGTTGAAGATGCAGCGAAATGATTTGGCGAACAATATTTCCAGGGCCAAAAAGCGTTGAGCGAAATGCACGACAAGGATCCTGTAACGGCATGGCTACACTGCATATCTGGCAGTTTACCTGAACCAACCAATCACAGTGAACGCGAATCTGGATTCGGGTGGGTGTTTGCCTGAACCCTTCGAAAGTTCTAATAATCAACAACCTGTTGGTGCTGTTCGCCAGCACAATTATATCCAAAAACCCACGGGATAACGACGGGATCAGGAAGGTGGGTCTCGCCTTCCTGATCCCGTCAGTTAGAGTTCGTTAAAGCTCGCGTCTCATATTTCTGCCATCCAACCAAGTGTTAAACGGTTGGAATCCGGTAACAGCAGAGTTTGTCGCAAAGCACACCAAAGCAAGGGGTGGATTGGGAAAGTTGGCTGTCGCACACTTCCCCGTGCACACCAAGTGTTAACAACTCTCGAAAATATGAGACTGAACTCAACGTTGACAGAACCCGGGACCAAACCTGTCCCCCTTGGCTCGTTTTCCACCCAAACCAACCCACCCTGGTTTGTTTTGGCCTCGACTGTTTGGGAGTTCGCTGTGTTTTTTTCACCCACTCGTCAAATAATTCGTCATTCGTTACCCAATCACAGACGGGAAAACCCAACCAAGTGTTAAAAGGTTGGAAATCTGAGACGCGAGCTTTAACCACCGTCAGCTTGGTCAGCCCGTGAAAAAAGTGCCGAGCCTCACCTACCGTCCAAACCAACAAACAAAGTGGGCGTCTGGCGAACGCCCACTTTTCTCCACCAAATCTAACAGTTCGACGGCATCTGGAAGCGGGGACGAAACTTCGTCCCCAGGCAAAATGCCATCCCCTAGCCATGCCATCGTCATGCCGCGTTTTTCAAAGCACAGCGGTGGCACAGCCGACACATTGCTGTTCAGAGGGTAACCCTTGAACAAGCCTGCAGTTTAACAAAGGGGGGTTCGTATACCCCCCATTTTTCCCTCCCAAACACACCGTGGCGGGAGTTGTGTTTGAGCGGGGTGTGTTTTATTTGCGTTTTTTACCCACGTTGAGCACTTTTTGGTCAGCGGGCAGCACAAGGGTCAGGGATGAGCAAATTTCGCGCCATTGGGGGGAAGGTGTGGATGGACCTTCCTGACACGGTTGAGAAATTTCGCCTTTTGGGCGCGCGTAGTTTCTCGGGCGGCATTTCGCCCAAACCTCGGAGGAGGGTTCCGCCCCCGTTTCCATATGCGGTCGCGATGCTGATGCCATCGTTTTCTGTTGAAGAAACGATTTGCTGGCGAACAGCACCGTTATCACTGTTGTTTGTTCATCCTATACCATATTGTAACGAACAACAACAAAACGTAAACGCATTAGCGGTATGTGCAGGTGTAGAAACACAGAATCGCCAGCAGCTAGCAGTAGCTGAACTGAACTGAATGAAATAACCTGGCTGTAGCGGTGAAAAAGACGGATGTATGCATTGTTTCTACCGTACCGCACTGCCATACATGGCATTCCAGTAGGAATGAAATCACCTGGCTTGATGCTGGTAAAAAAGGTTAGGCAACCACGGTCTTGGAATTGCATTATGAATAACTGAACATGTACACTTATAAAATGCATGCATCCATTGTACCAATGTACTTCAAACTGAGCTAATTCTGCCAAAGTGCACATAATGCCAATGTACTTCAAACTGAGCTAATTCTGCCAAAGTGCACATAATGCCCAGAATAAGAAGGATTGCTATCATATATATATCCTTGTCCAGCCATCCATCCTTCCATGCCTATGCATCTGCTTTGGTTGCACAAGGAATGTACCCTACACCTTACCAACGCACAACGCTTTAGCTCTCTCTCCCACCCCACCACCTTCTCATCCCACTCACGCAAATTCCTTCGGAAGTTTCAGATACCATGCCTCCATATTCCACACACCCACCCTTGCTCGAGAGATTTCAGCCCCCATCTTTCCTCATTCCACTCACCCACCTTCGAGTGGGGGTTTCAGCCCCCCTCTCCTCTTTTCACACATACTCACCCACCTTCCTTTGAGGGTTCCGACCTCACTCTCTCCTCATCCCACTCATCCACCTTCCACTGGGGGTATTCAACCCCCTTCTCTACTGAAGGGCATTCAGCCCATCTTCCACATATTGACAGGAGGGATCAGGTGGCATCAGGTTGCAACAGGTGGCATCAGTGCCATACAGGTGGCATCAGGTTGCAACAGGTGGCATCAGTGCCATACAGGTGGCATCAGGTTGCAACAGGTGGCATCAGTGCCATACAGGTGGCATCAGGTTGCAACAGGTGGCATCAGTGCCATACAGGTGGCATCAGGTTGCAACAGGTGGCATCAGTGCCATATCCAAACGGGACTCCACTCCACTGTGCTCCAGGAAGGGTGCTGCTGGGAGGGAAGGGAAAAGGGAGACAGGAGGAGGTGAGTAAGAGGCTGTCCTTCACTCTCCTGGCCTTGCTCCAGTGCTCCTACCCTCAGGCTGCTGGGAAGTGAGGAGGGGGGATTAAAGGGGGAGCGGGTCTCCACTGTGGTCCAGGAAGTGTGCTGCTGGGAGGGAAGGAAAGAGGGAGAGAGGAGGAGGGGATGAAAACATAACTTACTTTTTACCATACCATACCTTAACTGTACCGTACCTCACCTTACCCCACCTCGCTCACGACTACTCCTATCCTGTGTTGCCCTCTAACCCTCCACCCCCCACCGCTGCACCGCTGCTTCTGCTGCTGCAACTGCTGCTGCCGGTCTGCTTCACAGCTACATCTGCTGCACTCTTCGCTTGATGCTGAGTGACCTGGTAGCGGGGAGAGTGAGAGGGGAGGGGGGCACAGGAGAGGAGGGGCGAGGAGAAGTGAGTTTCACGACAGACACGGAAGCGAAACTGCATAAAACAAGTACGAGCATGCAAAACGTTAAGACAGATGCAGCAGCGATGAACTTGAGGGGTAAAGTGATAAGGCCAGGGAGGAAGCTAGCGTACCTTGAGAGGCCAAGCCCATCCCCATACTCTCCCTCGTGGCAGCTGCTGTCGCCCTCCTAGCCCCCATCCTCTGTGACCGCTGGGACCGCTGCTGCTGCAACTGCTGCTGCCAGTCTGATTTTCAGCTACCTCTGCTGCATCCTTCCCTTGACGCTGATGCTCGGGAGAGAGGGAGGGGAGGGGGGGCACAGGAGAAGAGGGGCAGGAGAAGTGCTGAGTTGTCAGAAAGGCACTAAAGACGAAACTGAATAAGACAGAGACCAGCATGCAAAACGTGAAGAGAGAGCAACAGCAGCGATGAACTAGAGGGGGGGAGAGATGAGGCCAGGGAGGAAACTAACGCACCTTGAGAGGCCAAGCCCAACCCATACTCTCCCTCGTGGCAGCTGCAGTGCTGTCGCCCTCCCAGCCTCCCCGTGTGCGTCCCTGCACGGCCACCGGGGAGGGACGCGAGGTAGCGTCGGTGTTGACCCCCACGCCCCTCCCCTCCACCTGCAAAGGCACAAGCAGAGCTGGTGAGTGGAGAGCGAGGGGATGAAGGGCGAAAGAGGGGAGGGGCCACTGGTGTTCTGCAACCGCGAGAACAGAATTTGCAAGGCGGGAGAGGGGAGGGGCCACTGGTGGAGGCCAAGTCACAAACCACAGACCCAAGGGCTGCACCTGAGGGGGTACCTGCACACCTGCACCTGAGGGGATACCTGCACCTGAGAGGGTTACCTGAAGTAAGGGGGTCTGCAGCATGTGAGGCGGGCCCAACCAGTGGCAGTGATTCAAGAGGAAGGGTGCAAACGCGAATGCCAAAAACGAGATGGCAGCAAAGTATACAAGACATGACAAGGCAAACACGGGATTTACGGAACTTAGCTGAAGACGCGAGAGCGAAGCACAAGGCAGCTGCAGCACCAGCAGGTGCCTCCCCTCCCCATCAGCCCTCCTCTCCGCCTTTCCGTGTGCGTCCCTCCCTGCACGGCCACCGGGGAGAGGCATGAGGGAATGGCGGTGCTGACCCCACACCCCTCCCCCCCACCTGCAAGGCACACACGCAGAGCTGGTGAGTAGGCAGGCAGTGAGGGGATGAAGGGTGAGCAGCAGCAAAATAGCAAGGGAAATGAGGAAGGAGAGGCCACTGGTTGAGACACAACTGCAAGTCACAGACCCCCAAAGGGACCTGAGGGGATGTAAGGCTGTAGGGCGGCTGAACCTGAACCTGAACCTGAACCTGAACCTGAGGGGTTTACCTGAATCTGGGGGGCAGGGGTGTGTGGCTTGCGAGTGGAGCCCCAACCAGCGGCGAGATTTGGATTTGGAGGCAAAGAAACTGGAAAGATACAAGTGAGGCAGAACAGCAGGCAAGGATGAAGGAGGCGAAGCACTTAGCTGGCAGTTGTAGCAGTGGTGGCGCTGGCGTAGGGGGGTGCGGGGGTGGAGAGTGGGCAGGGGCGAGCGGAGAAGGCGAGTCCCAGCGAGGAGGGTTGAAGGGAAGGACCTGCGAGGCAGGGCAGGGGGGAGACACAGTGAGTGCGTGGCAGGCGCAAGGGAGCGGCCCTGCAAATGAAGCGCGAGTGCGAGTGCAGAAACGACGGTGCATGTGACAGCCGCCCACAGCCCCACAAGGGCCCCTACCAACCTGAACCTGCACCTGAACCTGCACCTGAACCTCAACCTCCACCTGCACCTGAACCTCAACCTCCACCTGCACCTGCACCTGAACCTGAACCTGAGGGGGATTGGGGCTCTAGTGGGTGTGGTGGCGGGGCGATACTTGCAACCTCGACCGTTGATGAGGCTCAGCGCTGCTGCCTTGCTGCCCGCCCTGGCGCCCCCCACGCCTGCTGCCCTCCCCTCGCCTTGCGCTGGCCTGGCAGGGCAGGGCGGGAAGGGGAAGCGGAGGAGAAGGAGGGGAGGGCGTGGAAGAATGAGCTGACCTACAGCAGCAAGAGGTTGGAGTGAAAATGAGAGAGTTGAAACTGGTGATGAGGGTGTGATGGGGATGGGTGTGCGAGTGATGTGGGAGCGACGAGAGCATGAGCATGAGAGTAATGTGAGCATGAGTGCAGGCAGGCAGGGCGATCACACTGCAGACCTCACACGTACGGACGCACGCGGACAACTAAGCCTGACGGGCGGACGGACGGACGGACACAGGCAAGGCAAGGCAAGACACGGACAGAGCTAGGGGAAGAGACAGGGAGGTCTGCAGGTTCGCCTTGGGTGGCATGGCGAGTGGCGCGTGGGATGAGGCATGACGAGTGGCGGCAGGAAAGCAGCGCGAGGAGGGCGAGGGTACTTATCTGCGCGCAGGGCGAGAGGCACTGGCAGAGCCGCTGGGACGGCCAGCAGAGCTCCGTCCGTGAAGGGGTGGTAAGGACTGGTGCGTGCCAGAGCTCCGTCCGTCCAGCAGAGCTCCGTCCGTCCAGCAGAGCTCCGTCCGTCCAGCAGAGCTCCGTCCGTCCAGCAGAGCTCCGTCCGTGAGACACAACGCCACGCGCTCGCTGCCTTGCCTTGCTCACGTCTTGCCTCGCCTCGCCTCGCTCACTGCTGCCTCCCATGCCGCCTGCTGCTTCCTGCACACAAGCATAAGCTATTTTCAGAAACCGTTCACAGGTTCAAGTGGCTGAACGGAAAAGAGATTTGTGAACGAAACGCGAGCAATAACGGCGGAATGAAACGGTGGGTTGATGGCTTACCGCAGAACGGCGATGGAGGGAGCAGGCGAAGGGGTGGTGCGTGGCAGTGGGTGGGCGGATGGACGGGCGACGCGTGGCGAGCGTGGAGCAGCAGCGGTGAAGCCAACTCCGAATGACAACCTTCGAAGATCGCTCAGGCTTGAAATCGCCTGCAATGGAAAACAAATATGGAAATTTATTATGCTCAGAAGCGATCGCGAATGGAAGAAGGAAAGCTATTCTGCCACGATAATCCATAATCGACGAGAGTGAGCAGAAGACGAGAGTGAGCAGAAGACGAGAGTGAGCAGAAGACGAGAGTGACAGGGAAGGAAAGAAGCGTACGATCTGGCTGAAGTCGCGTCGCGACGCAATCGTGGAACGACGAATCGACGACACGTCGTCACCACGTGTGCGATCGATTGAACGTGCAGCGTGGTGTGGAATTTCAGCAGCAGGCGCGCCGAACGAGAGTCGCCAAGTGGTCTTGGATAAGGAAAATCGACAATAGGTCCGCGACCGGCGGCGATCAACGAATCGGCTTCGGCGTGCCTAATCTGACGACGACTCGGAAATGCCGTGAAAGTCGATCGAACCGCAGCTGAAACAGTCTAAAAAATGGCAAGCTTCGTTTGAAAATGCTGCAGCAGCTGACGAGGAATTGGAAAAGCGCGCAGCAGCAGAGTCGATCTGAATGAAACGCGTAAACTAGCCGATCTGAACGAGAACGGGGCGAAAGGGAGGTGCGAAATGTGGAGGCAGCACTTTGGGTGGGAGCGTGGCAAGGCGCAAGCGAGAGTTGCGTTGGCATGCCCAACTTGGGTTGGGCCCCTACGTGCGTGCGTAGAGTAGAAAGCCGTTGCGACGAATATTTTCGAGCGCGAGAATGTGAAAAGTCGAATGCGAACGTTCGAATCAGCAGCGCGTAAGCCACATGGCCGGTCGAAATCAAACCAGGGGGCCCAAGTGAGTGACGTGGGTTGCCTATCGACCCCAAACACTGCCAACTAGGCTCAGATTTTCCTTGGGGGGTCACTAAGCTGTCGTGCGGGTGGGAAGAGCGCGAAAGGAGGTGGCTGCAAGGCGCAATATTCGCGGCGGGCCGAAGCGCAGCGAATACTAGTGGAGAGCAGAAAATAGGAGAAGGAATGGCTTGCTGGTGGCAGATCTGGCGGGAGGGAGGTGGGGCTGTCAGAGCAGAGCAGAGCAGCGCTGCTGGAATTCAGAGTCTCGCTGCGTGACGAAGGGGATGAGCATTTACAGCTGATTCGGATCAGTGTTAAGGTACACCTCAGGTGATTCTTGTGATTATTACAAGTATATTTTCTTGTTTCATCTTAGAGACACCATCTAAATGCTTTTAGAATATGAGCTATATACATTCAAAGATGATGGATCACTGACCTGAAATATGCGGAATGACAGAATATTGATTCCTCTGCCAAGTTTGCACTGACTGCCAGTTGCTAGTAGATGGATGTCTACATGGTGATTCATACCAGATTATAACCTATCATTCTTCCTCTTCCTGGTTATTCTCGTTAGATTTTCTTCATACAAGAAGCATTGACTTGCCACATTGATTTTCACATTGCAAATGCTACACATTGAAGAAACATACATACTAGAGAGATAAAGTTCACAGACATGTATACCTAACAAAATTGTAACCCTTATGGCTTCTACACTCAACTCATCACATGCAGTGCAGTGGAAGGGCATGGCAGGTGAGGCAGCCATGCTTGCCACATGCCACACACACAGCCCCTTCACTCCTCCACTCCTCCACCCCTTCACTCCTCTTCCCTCCCACACAGCCCTCCTTGCCTTCCATCGTCCTCCTCTTCCCTCCATCACTGCCCTCCTCGCCTTCCATCGTCCTCCTCTTCCCTCCAGCCTGCACATAGCATGATGTCATGCCACACCATGCCATGCAACACCATGCCATGCCACACCACGCCATGCGATACCATGTGTCACAACACTCCACTCCATGCCACACCATGACATGCCTAACCATGCCATGTCAGCTCATGCCCTGCCAGTGAAAAAATGACATGCCACTCCATGACATGCCAAAGAAACAGATGGCGCACCATGCCATGCCACGCCACCAGATACAACATGCCATGCCAGTCCTTGATACACCCTCACACACTATCATACCATATTGTATCAAGCCACACTATATTATTATTATGCACTGTATTATTCCACACTGAATCATTCCACACTGTATCATACAGCAGGGTATCATGCCACACTGCATCACATTGCATTGTAACACACTGCATCATGCCACATTCTATCATATGTCAATGAAAACTATGGAACTGTATCGTGCCACGCTGTCTGTTTCAAATCACAATGTATCATGCCATGCTCTCATGCAACAGGTGGCATCAGTGCCATACGGCTGATCTCATTATGTGCCACCAACCAAGCATGAGCATCATGCTCTCATGCAATGCACAGGTGGCATCAGTGCCATAAGGCTCATCTCATCATGTGCCACCAACCAAGCCTGAGCATGATGCTCTCATGCAATGCAACAGGTGGCATAAGTGCCATACGGTTCATCTCATCATGTGCCACCAACCAAGCTTGAGCATCATGCTCTCATGCAATGCAACAGGTGGCATCAGTGCCATACGGCTCATCTCATCATGTGCCACCAACCAAGTCTGAGCATCATGCATACATGTTCCTCCTCCAGCCCCACTGCCTCTCACCACCATCACCACCGACCCACCCAGCCCCACCCATACTCACCTGGCAGCAGTAGGAGCAGCAGACAACCCACTCCCTGTCGAGAACAGCACCCCCAGGCGCTCTGACTTGTGGGTCAAGGTGTGGCAGTGAAAAATCGCTTCCAGCCCAAGACTCAAATCCCACCCCCGACGTAGCTAGAGCTGACGCGAACCAGAGCCGCTGGCCGGTCGACTCTGACAGTGTCCATTAAGCCTTAAACGCCGGATCGGTTACTTGAGCACCGAGTGCCGTGCCGCGGAGATTCCACCCACCACACACCCAAACCACAAGCCACAACTCCAGAGGATGCTTCCCTAAGGCAGTGAACTCCCCGCTTGCTCCCATGCTTCCCCCACACACCCACACCACACTTCACCCCATGCCTACGTAACTGTACCAACCACTGCCGTGCAGTGCAGAGCGCCATGATCTTTGGGGCTGATGGGTAGTGGGAAGGGGGCGGTTAAAAGGTGGGGGGGACTCCACTCCACTGTGCTCCAGGAAGGGTGCTGCCGGGAGGGAAGAGAAAAGGGAGAGAGGAGGAGGGGAGTGAGAAGCTGGCCTTCACTCTCCCAGCCTTCCTCCAGTGCTCCACCCTCAGCCTGCAAGAGGAAGCGGGAGGAGAAAGAGAGGGAGGGGATGAAAACATACCTTACCTTTTGCGGAGATAACTACTACAACGGGAGCTAGGCTACGGGCTAGGCACGGGTGCTCGTGTGATCTCTGCGTTCGTTGGTCCTTAGTCGTTTTCATAGTGCACACACTGCTTGCTAGTTCACGGGGCAAGTTGGCAAGAGTTTCACTAGAGAAAGTTGACAACAATGGTACAATGAAGTTGGCATGGCAAGGCTACATCAGAGCAAGCATTCAGGTCGGTCGACTTCCAGCGCACCATGGTCGACCGCGTTCCAACACGACTTGGTCGACCGCGCTCCAGCAGTGCAAAGTCGACGGCGTGCCAACGTCGCAGGTTGACGGCGTGCCAGCGCTGCTCATGCAGAACAGCAGCGCACCTACTTCGCAGGTGCTCGCAGTTGATTGGCGTGCTGAGCCTCGTCACCTGCACAACGCACACACCAAGTCGTCCTCGTGCTGACAACTGCACCTGATCCGCCACGTCGACCTCGGGATACCACCACCGAGGTCGGACTCGCCAACTTCGCCTGGGCGACCGTCGCACTCCTCCGCAGAACCTCGTCACCTAGGTAACCTGGTCGACCGGGCAACCACGTGAACCAGGTGCTCCTGTATGTGCCCGTCGACCTCCCAAGTCGACGGCCACCTCCAGTCGACCTCACCAGGTTGACCACACCCCTGGTCGACCAGCTCCACGTCGACGAGCACAGTCGTCAGCTGACCACCCAAGTCGGCTACCCGAAGTCGGCGTCAGCAAGTCGACGCCCCTTACAAGTCGGCGACCTCCCAAGTCGGCGACCTCCCAATTCGGCGGACTTGCAAGTCGGCGACCTTGCAAGTCGGTGACCTTGCAAGTCGGTGACCTTGCAAGTCGGTGACCTTGCAAGTCGGCGCCGACCACCAGTTGAAGTCGGCCGCCGGCTTCCCAAGTCGGCGGCATTGCAGTGGCCCCGTGCAAGTCGACCAACCCCGTCGACCAGCTCGCCCAAGTCGGCGTCGCCCACTGCAGCAAGTCGGCTGTACCTCCCGTACACCCAACCACGAAGTCGGCTCCGCCCAAGCGAGGATGGGGCCAACAACAACTCCCGTTGACACTCCCCTGCCGCGTTCACGCTTGGACCCCCAGCCCACACGGCAGTACTCCTCGGAGAAAAGCTCGTCGACG